CCCAAAACCCCAAAACCCCAAAACCCCAAAACCCCAAAACCCCAAAACCCCAAAACCCCAGCAAAATTATGAAAATAGTATGTTACTTCTAATGAATAATAATAAAAATGTCTGTGACAACAACAGTGATTACCTTATTGGCTCAGCTCTATGATATAGTACAATTTAGGTTGCCACCAGGCCCAAAATTTGTACCCATCAACTGGGTATTAAACACCCAAAAGTTCGGATGCTGGATCTGGCTGCTTTGCCTGATGATTTACTATGATAATTGGTCAAGAGGAGCTTGGATTTATTTCTTTCTCCATGGAACTTACGGACTATCTTGGATTGTCAAGGATTTAGTATTTCCAGATGTTACATTTAGACAAAAAGTCACTTTTGGATCTGCCTTAATTCTTATTCTAGTACTTATTACATATCTCCTTCCTGGATATCAGATGATGTCGAGAGTCGCAGATAATAACCCCTCAAAAGAAAGAATTATCACAGCTTGTGTATGATACATTGTTGGAATATTTTTAATGATTGGGGCAGACTTACAGAAGAATTATATCCTTAAACTTGGCGGAGGATTGATTTCAACTGGATTCTTTAAAACTACTAGAAATCCTAATTATCTGGGAGAAATGTTAATTTACAGGTAATTTTCATAATGTTTATAATTTACAAGTTTCTAAATTTCTAGAGTCTAATCCACCATAGCTCCTTTGCAATCATATGAGGAAGATGGGAATTCTGGATGATAAATATCTTTGTCTGGCTAACACTCTTCCTTCCAAGGATGGTTATAAAAGACATAAGTTTGGCTAAGAAGAAAGGATGGGAAAACTATGATAGCTATATGCTTTTACCAAAACTAAGCTCTTCACATCTTGACAATTTTATTATATACTCATCATTGGCCATTCTTGGCTTGATGTTGTATAAGTCATGCATGTGTGAAAGCAACTTTTCAAAGTGTCAATGAATGGAAGAATTGTCTACATTACTAAAGTTTTATCAAACTCCAAGTTTGGCTAACTTGACCAAAGATTTGAAAGCCATAATCTCATGTTTTGGTGATATTGAACTATTCACTCTCCCAAGTTACTCGGTAAATTTTATGAAATCTTATTTGTAAATTCAATGTTTCTCTTAAAAAATGGGGTTTTGGGGTTTTGGGGTTTTGGGGTTTTGGGG